TCTTATTTTTATTTTTATTTTCATTTTTATTTTCAGTGCTGGGGTTCTAATGCAGGGCTTTGTGCATGCTAGGCAAGTGCCCTACTACTAAGCTACATCCCTAGTTCCAGCAATGTCCTTTATTTTAAAAAAAGTGTTCAAAAACAGTTCCCATGGTTTAATCAAATAAAAAAAATGTTTGATTGAGCAAAATAGATTTTATAAAGATATTTTATATTTTATTTTAAACTAACTTGAATCCTGTCTTCAGAATGTGTCAGCTTAATCCTTTTATTGTATTAGCCCAATAAATGTCTGTTTATAAGACTTGTTCTTGCTAAAAGTTTGACATTTGTTTTCAAAATAAATAAAATCAATAAACATTTAAAATATTCTTACTGGAAATATGTTGATGGTTGTTGTTGTTTGTTGAGACAGGGTTTTGCCAAGTTGCCCAGAATGGCCTGGAACTCAAAATAGTCTAGCCTCAGCCTTTTGAGTAGCTGGGATTACAGGCATGCACCACCATGCCCAGATAGTTGTATTTTTAATGAACTTATTTTACAAAGTTTGTACTAATGTTACCTGCAGTGTTTTTTATTAATAACATTTTCAGCCAATTTCATCAATGTGACAGCTAGAATGTTTGCTTTCTTCTTTGATGAGCAAAACCAGGCAGTACATTAAATTTGCAGTGACCTTTCACACCATGCTAACAAATATGCTCACCTCCTTTGAGGTAGGATAATTGGTAATTTCCACATAATTAGTAGAATTAGTTTGGAAAATTGATGAATGACAGATCCAACTCACAGTCCACAAACACAAGTGGCAGGAAATAGAACTATTTTTTTTATAACAATTTAATTTCTACTTTTTTTCTCTTTTGTGGTACTGGGGATTAATCCTAGGGACTTTGCACTGAGCTAAATCCCTAGTGCCCCCTCCGTTTTGTATTTTTTCAGACAGGGTCTTGCTAAGAAGCCTAGGATGGGCTTGAAACTGCAGGTCTCCCTGAGCCTCCCAGAGTCCTAGTATTACAAGTGTGTGCCACCATATTTGACTCTAATTTCTATTTTGAGGCTCCATGCACTGAGTGGAAACTTAACTTTGGTCATTCAAGGCTTTTGAGTTTCTGTGGAAAGCAAGGAAGTGACCTAGGATGTGATAAGAGGTAGGTTTGGGGGAATATTAGTGGGTGAGTGTGTTTATTTTCCCTAGAGGTACTTCTAAGTTTTAGGGATCTTGAACAATGCCAAGCCTGGTAGAGGGTATCAGAATTGTATTCTTGTCATTTTCTGGAGCCATCATCAGTTGAAATGTCCTTTTTTCCCATCTGGTTTTTAGCCATTGGCCATTGTTATTTATTGTTATTTCTGTCCCCAAGGCCCTTTCAGATCAAGCAGTTCCTGTCTTTGCTTCTTCCAGGATCCCCTCAAACTCATAGGAATCATTTTGCACCACAGGAAATGGCTTTTGTGTGGTGTCCGTGTACTGGACTTCCATGTGGGACTGGCTACATAATGTGCAGGCCCAGAACAAAATGACAAATTTACTTTTGGTAGTATTTAGATAGCACATTCTTTTATTTTTTAACTTCTTATTTGGACTTACTTACAGAAGAGATACAGAAATAGTACAGAGTTCCTATGTATACTTCACTCTGCTTCCTCTGGTGTTACAAGGTTTCATAACCATGGTACAGTGATCAAACTCAAAAGTTAGCATGGGTATAATACTGCTAACTCCAGACTGTCTTCATATTTCATCTGACTTTCCACTAAAGTTTTTTTTTTGGCATTCAGGATTCAGTCCAAGATCCTTCCCAGCATTTATTTTGTGCCACATTTCCTTAGTCTCCTGTAATCTGACAATTCCTCAGTCTTGTTTTTTCTGACCTCAACAATTTTGAGGGATACTGGACAGTTTTCTTTTTCTTTTTAGAAAGTCCTTCTATTTGAGTTTTCCTGTTTTCTCCTGATTAGATTGAGGGAATGCATTCTTAGGAAGAACACCCCAGAGATGATGTGTTCTCAGTATTGCAGCCTCTTGAATTATTCAATAAAACAGTTAACAAGACTGTTCAGTAGTTTGCCCCAAATCACAGAGCCACAGGCACCAAAGTCTCACTCTTACGCTGGGAGTGTTTATTAGCCCATAAAGCCTCTCATATTTTTCAACAGCACTGAATTATCCAGCACTTGCTTTCTAGGGTCATGACTATCCATTTTTTGTTGGAGGTTTAGGGTGGACAGAAATCCTAGAAGAGAAATGAGTTTCAAACAGGGAGAAGCTAAGCATTTGGTCAGTATCTGTGTTGCTTCATGAATGGTGATGATGATGGTCACTACTTATGCCTCGGATGTGTGGCAGGCACTGGGTTTTTTTTATGGGGACCATCTTGCCCTTCTGGAAATATCTGTTTTACAGATTAGACGTTGAAAAGCATATCTTCCCCAGGTCTCTGTCTTTAGTATGATTCCAGGTTAGAGTTTACCACTGAGAAGTTACTTGTGTGAAACTTGAAGGTAAAGAGGTAAAACTGCTCTTCATAGCCAGACCCATGGGCAGACAAGAGATTTACAGAAATCTGAGAAACTCATGAGAATCACATCTGTCACAACTGCACACAGTGGGGAGAATAGGGTGATGGGGTTTTCAGAGGCTCCTAAGAACTTCAGCAGCTCGCCAGCAATCTTTTGGGCCTTGGTGGTTCAAGTTGAGATCTCTAGTGTCTGCTTCTTTAATCTTTGATGGGACCACCTTGGACCTCTACCCTACCTCTTTTGTGTGTGTGTGTGTGGTAATGAGGATTGAACTCAGGGCCTTGTGCATGCTAGGCAAACTCTCTGCCATTGAGCTACATCCCCAGGCTTTTCCTACCTCTTCTAGAAGATTTACTTTTATTTTTATTTTTTATTTTAAAGAGAGGTCCTACCTCTTAATAGTCCAGCAAACAGCTAATTCCTATGTTAAAACCTTTTATACCTGGTGACATACTACAGCTTCTATTTCTTGCAGCGACCCCTGACATCAGTGAAGCATGTTAATGCACTACCCTTGGAGTTGGTGCCATTAGAAACGGGAGGATTCATGGGTTGATTGTGCCCATACTCATCGATGAGCATTTTACTGAATGTTTCATGTATTAGCAATGAAGTCAAATAGCTTTGTTATTAGAATGGTCTTTATGTGAAAAAAATGAAGATCAAAATTTAATTTTTTTATCTTTCAAATTTAAAAACTTGCCATATGAAAGCATTTCCAGGTACCCTAAAACCACTCAAAAACTATAATCTGAGGACCAGAAATTGATATGGTCCCACTCACTTGCTCAATTATTTGCCTTTGCCTCTCACCTGAGATTGCTAAGGGTAAAGGTTATGTCTTTGGTGCCTAATGTAGTGGTCTGAGAATAGTAAATGCCCAAGAAACAAACATGTTTTTCATTCA